ACCTGTATTGCCGCCAGCTCAGCAACATATACGGAACAATGAGCATGAAGCATTCGAGAGGCGCTACGAAATAAGTTATAAATACCAAAACCAGCGGACGCCTCCATTAGTGATCCATCTGTGAAGAACGATCTTGCGGATTCAAGCTGGCCAAACTTTGCAGCGAAAATTGACGGAGCAAACACGATAGGGATTATGCTGCGAAGGGCTGACATCCTGTGTTATGTACACGTAGTACAATGACATAAAACGAGTTTGAGGGTTTAGCTCAAGAAGCTCCTCAAAGTTTTCAATCACCAGTGGGTTCATAATTTCACATCGGGTGAGGACCTGAGGGACAATTCCGAAAACCCGTTAGAGAGTGGCATGCCCGCCAACACTTCAAGACTCATCGTATGAGTCGAGTGCATGCATACTAACGCGATACGAAGATAGCCGCCGACTGGAAGCAGAAATTACCGTACTCTAAAACCGATAAAATCGTTGTCTGGTACAACGTTAGAAGATCTTGTGCATGGGCTCCCCACCACGTTCCGGTAATTGTACGGAGAAAATTGATCCTTTGTTGGCATTTCCGCTTCAGATACTCAATGTGGGATCTCCAGGTGGACCAGGCGAACCAGACTCCAAGATATTTGAAGGACATAGAATGAGTTATCGGTTTACCCAAAAGTTGAAGCTTCGGTTGTGCTGGGCTATGCTTCCTAGAAAAAAAAAAACCACCAACTCAGTTTTCTCCGTGGAAAATTCGATACCTAGCTGAATAGCCCAAGTAGACAAGTTGTCTAAGATATCCTGTAAGGGTCCTTGCAGGTCGACCCCTTTGGGCCTTGTTGAAAGGAAATAAGATGAGTGCCTTCCTGGTTTCATCGACCGAATACCCTCAATCAAACTGAGGCTATCCGTGAAGATGAAGTAATGGTCTGCGGGCATGTTGGAAATCATCCCCAATGCGAAGTTTGCGAAAGGCGCTAGAGTTTTCATTGAAAACACCGAAGCCAGTGTCCCATTCCCTTCTTGGCCAGCATTCGGACGTGGACGGTGCTTGAAAATGATTGTTAGTTTCTCTGTGTAACTATAGCTGATCTGGCAGTAACGGAAAAGCATCCGCGAGCGTCAATCATGATCTTGCTCATTGACCTTTTGTCATTTTGATCTTCTGTCATTTTGATCTTTTGCCTCTCGATCTTTGATCCATTTGCCTTTCGACCTTTTAGCATACATTATATCGTAAACAAAAGATATGTTGTAAACTGGAAAATTTTAGCCCCAATGCTTTTGTGCAAAGTACTCTGGATATTCCATATATTAGAAGATACTGATAATACAAAACTCAACGATCTTTTGAATCATTCGTGGCCACCTGCTGATGTATTGCTTATAACAATGTAAATTACCGTAAAAAGCCCTTTTAATTTAGATGATGAATCGCCATCTTTCCGATCAAAATAAGACTCTGTCCAAGTAACCAACAGTTCGGATAAAAGGCTATTTGTGGCTTAAGCAGCTTGGTTGAAGGATTCTTAGCAGCCTCATTTTTAAGTCGTTATAAGAACTTGAAAGTTCCGGCACTATAATTGAAGAGTATTCTAAGCAGCTTCTGGCGGAACTTGAACGGAACTTTCAAGAAAATAAATTAAAAAAGGTTTTTGTCCTCTACACCAATTTTGTATTTTTCGCACTTTCATGAATGTTAATTCTAAAGGCAGGTATGAACGTATATTTATTTATCAGCTTTAGTATTAGTATTGATGCACTGCATAAATATAAGAATTATAATTTATTTGAGCCACTGATCATTTCATATTTACACACATTAAATTTAGTTACTGATAAAGACTTGTGCGGATTGCTTCATGTGGGCTATCACGGACCTTTTTAGAAACTTTCAAGTTGTTAAGAAGTTCCGCAGGGAACTTTTAAGATACTTTAAAGTTGATAAGAATTTCCACTGGGAACTTATTCGGAACTTTGTTGTGGCCATGTTTTCAGCCTTGCCTGAAGTTCCTCAGAAGTGCTTAGGGATGCTTTTTGGAACTTTTTTTGAACTTCAAGTTGCTCGGAGTACGCGAACTTTATGGAATTTGAAAGTGGGTTTTATAGTTGAATACGGAACTTTTGGTTGCTTGGGAAGAAAGTTCTGCCGGAACTTTATTTGAAGTTTATGGAACTTGAAGGTTCTTTCGGAACTATATTTGAATTTTATGAAACTTGGAAATAAGTTGTATCGTTAAATGCGAAAATTTTTATGGAGTTGAACTGGATTGAAACTCTGAAGAATCATTTTGTGAAAATTCCAATAGAATTCGGAGAAATACGTAGAGGAAAGTCTTGGGAATAGTAATGTATTTCAAAGTACAATTCCAAGGGAGTTCTAGGACGAACGTTAAGGGAGTTTTGACGGTGAATTTCCAGCAGAGCTCTTAGTATAATTTTAAGTAGTTCCTATTATGAGGAGGACAAACCGGCACTGGTGCACCGCGGTGGTGTAGTCATAAGCGTAACTGCTTTCTCACCCCAATGGGTCTGGGTTCAATCCCAGCCGAGGTCGGTGGGATTTTTCTGAGGCATAAAAATCTCTGGTCAAGTCTTCCTTCGGAAGGGAAGTAACGTCGTTGGTCCCGGCCCATGTGTGTTGAACGGGTGCGATATCCTACGCAGGTGTGGAAGCTGCCTACCTGAACATTCGATTGCCGTCAATGGATGGCAATCGATGTCCGTCGGTAATTGGCACTAGATTGCGGAACAGAGACCAACGTTAAATAAAGGAACGAAGATTATGAGGAGGATTCAATGTCCAATTTGAATGAGTTTATTAAGTTCAGAGATAAATTTATAGAGAGGTCTGATGTGAGATTCAATGAAAATTTTGAAAAGAACTCGAAGGCTATTGAATTCTCAAGATAGTTGCAAAATAATTCTGGGCCCAAGTGGGTTTTTTTTTTTTTTTTTTTTTTTTTTCTTTATTAGAGAGATTTTTAGCCTAAGGCTAGTTCATCTCTTTAAAAAATTACAAAAAAGAATTGGGCTTCCCAAGTGGGTGATTTCTTAACAAAGTTTCAAGAGTACCATACCAATGAAATAAAATGTTGCGAGTATAATTCTGAAGGACTTCTGTGAAGAGACTCAAGGATATTGGTACGAACGGATACTTGAATTTCCTGAATCGAGTTCCACAGTGTGCGAATTGTGTTGGACGGCCAAGAGGTGCTTCAAGACTACATAAAAATTCGTTGGTGTTGATTCAGATGTTAAGATTTACCTACATTTTGCATATCTATAGTAAACTATGATCCTAATCGATCAATTAGTGTAAAGAAAAACGAATTTTAACAACTGAGTGAAAAGTTATTACCAAATGTGCAGTTGGTGTGTACAACTGTGCATGCCAAGCATGGAGGATTCTATCCGTAATGCCACAGCCAGTCAGTGGGAGTTTGATTGTAAATACACACACACACACACATACTTCTGCGAAGAGACTCAAGGTAATTACAAGAAAGCTGTTCTCCACCATGGAACCTCCCTTAGCTCAGTCGGTAATGTGGTGTTTACATCTGTGCGGATATGCTAGCGCTAGTGTACTAATCAACTAGCACGAATTTCAGTTGCTCCTGAAATCTCATGCTGGTAGACGCTGATGCCCTGTTAACATTATGCTGGTGAGTTTTTTGCTAGCAGCTGGCTCATTAGCGCTAGCACAAGCGTAAACAACCTATAAAGGACGCAGCTACAAAGCAAGACCATGCTGGAGGTGGCTGGTTTCGATTCCTCGTCCGGTCTAGGAATTTTTCGGGTTGGAAAGTATGAGGCATAGAGAATGATTGTACTTGCCACACAATTATACTAATGCAAAAATGGGACTAGCATCGAGAGCTTTCATTTAATAACTGTGGAGCACTAGAACACTAAGTTAAGAGCACGCAATAAACTAATATACGATAAGCAATAAACTTGTAATACAAGGAAAAATAAGAAGAAGATGTTCTTCACCACACCTGTTTTGAGGCCATAAACGATTTTACAATAGTGTGCTCCACAAAACCAACCAGCTTCTGATGGTCCGTTGACCTTAAAGGGAAACCCTTTGCTAACAATAACATCGATTTCAAGGTCCAAAATGAACCTGCTTTTCAACAGATGATGGTGTGGTTGCTACATTTCTTACATAAGGCGGTTGATTATTGAAACTATTTGTTTCTTTCTTTAAACATCATATCATGATAAAATCTCTGGGGAATTTTTAGTACGTCTTAGCGTTGATTGATTTTCTCCTTCTAATTCCTCTTGCATGATGATAACATCGTTGCAAATGCATCCAACATTTTCTTAAAAGAGTGTTAGATTACGAATCACACTTTCAATGAAATCAAACAATCTGACCATAACTCGATTAATATTTATGCAAAAGGGACATCGTTCAACCCACATAAATCGAAGCAAAAATTTACTTTTATAGACACCAGATAGTACCAAAACGAAAACCGCTAAATAAAAGAAAATTTACAATTACTGAAAATTAGACACCTGGAAATTGTTCGATTCGTTCGAATGAAAGAGCGACGATAAAACACATTCACCGCGTAACTTTCGATCACCTGCTGGTTGGTTACTACCCACTATCTCTAGGTCATCTTCGATCCGCGCCCCTGGCCACCACCGCTGGGAAACATATGAGAAAACAGTTAGCCATCCGCCCAAAACCGGTGGCCTTGGACCGTGATGCGAGCGACTCTTCTCACTGGCGCATGTAACTTTTTTTAAATTTTTAGTTCGTTTTTGTGTTTGATCGCGCTTCTTGCCTAAGCCCAAAATAAAAAATGCTTACGGGTTGATATCACCCAGTTAAGTGCGAGCGGAAATCGTGCTTTTGGCAAAAAGATCCAGATGATGAAATTGGTACAGTATAAATGACTTGTGGCTGGTGGGTTAGAGCATCATTCGTTTGTGATCGTTCACCGGATTTGGTAGTAAAGAAGATAGGTACAACCGGGGCAGATATGAAGGTTCGTGTGATCAGAAGGGATTGTGATTGTTCAGTGTACTAATTGTTTGCTTTCTTTTCTGTTATTCCCACAGAAATTCGTTGTTTTATCAATGGCTCTGGCCATTGCGTTGGGAGCAGCGATAGATAATCCGACCAAGGAAGTGGATACCAACAAGGACGCTGATGCTAACGTCGAGACCAAACAGCAAGAGAAACGGGGTCTTAGTGATTATGGTCATGGATTTTCTCATCATCAAGAAATGTTAAGTGAATTCCAGCCGTCTTATAGATACGAAGCTCCAGCAAGCTTTGAGGATTTCAAACACTATAAGAGTCAGGCTCACCAGCACATGACCTACGACTGGAGGGATGAGAAGCAAACCATCATTACCAAGAAGATTCCAGTTCCTTACAAGGTTGAAGTTGAGAAGCACACCATCATTGAAAAGAAGTTTCCTGTCCATGTAGACCGCCCAGTGCCATACCATGTTGAAGTTGAGCGCAAGGTTCCAGTCTACGTTGAGAAAAAATATACAGTGCATGTTGATCGTCCAGTTCCATACCCAGTCAAGGTTCCGTATCCAGTTGAGGTCGAGAAAAAATACCCAGTCTACGTAGAAAAGAAGGTCCACGTTGACCGTCCAGTCCCATACACTGTCGAAGTGGAAAAGAAGGTTCCAGTCGTCGTTGAGAAGAAGGTACCAGTCCATGTCAATCGCTACGTCCCATACCCCGTGGAAGTCAAGGTTCCAGTAGTCCACAAAGTCCATGTGGAAGTGCCGAAACCATACACGGTCCATGTCCCAAAACCATTTCCGGTGTACATCGAGAAGGAAGTCATCAAACACGTTGATCGTCCAGTGCGTGTAGAAGTTGAGAAGAAGGTACCAGTTACGCTTGTCCACAAGGTTGAAGTCCCAAAACCGTATGCTGTTATTGTTGAGAAACCAGTAGTGCTTGAAAAGCACCATCATCATCATCATGCTTACCAAAACAATCATGACAGTCACGAACATGTTCAGCAAAACTCAGCTGCACTGAAGTTGACCAGATATACTTCTGAACCTGCTCATGATGATCATCACAATGAGCATAATAACCACCAAAATGAAGAACAGCATTACCAGATCCAGCATTCGTCTCTTCCTGTTCCTGAACACTTGGTTCAGCACAAGGATGAGCACGATGATAGCGAAGAACAGCGTCATAATGTCCATCATCATCAGCACTACGAGGAACAGCGCCATCACGATGATGACCATGATGATCATCACGAGCAGGCATTCCGTCAACACCAACAGCATCACAACCAGCAACAGCAATACCAACATCACCAGTATGAAGAACAACATCACCACAATCAACAACAACAATACCAACAACAGCAGCATGACGAGGAACAGCACCACATTTCCGCCCATTACAAGCGTGAATCCAAGCAGTAAAACAAGTTTACATCTTTGGACGCGTATTCTCCATTCTCTAGTCTAGTGTAGCACAAATGGAACTGAATTATTTGATGCACAGAATGATCCTGTTGAATATTGTTAAATATAATTAGTATTGAAAATTGAGCTGTTTGTTGTTTATTTTTTCCACTGAGCAGAATTGAAATAAAACCTTTTAATCAAAATTCCAAAGTACCGCAATGCGAAGGCAAATTGATCACCGAGGTGAAATTGCTCATAATGCCTTGTTTTTTTAGTTGTCACGCAAATAATTTTCGGTTACATTCTACGTGACGTTGCAACGGATTTTGTATGTTTAGTGATCACTAAATGTAATTACAGATTTGGAAAGTGCGTTAAATTTCCTCTATGAATGGATCAAGAGTTTCTGATTTGAGTAGCTCAAAGCGTTTTGGTAAATTGTTGTTGAGTAGCGTAGTTGAGTAAGTGCAAAACGTTGTCACTCACCAAATCATTGTGAGCAACTCAAATCATAAACTCTTGATCTATTCATATAGGAAATTTATCTTACTTACCTTACCTTACCAATCAGGCTAAGGCCTTGTTGTCCTGTGCTGTCCGAAGAAGTCGTCTCCACTCTACTCGATCCATGGCCACAGTTAGCCAGCCTCGTAGTCTGCGAAGGGTCCGCATGTCACCTTCTATTTGGTCGGTTCACCTTGCCCACTGCGCGCCTCTTCTTCTTGTTCCTGTTGGGTCGCTTTCTAGAACCATTTTCACTGGGTCGTCGTGCGGCATTCTTACGACGTGCCCAGCCCACCGTAGTCGCCCAATTTTTGCAATGTGGACGGTGGATGGTTCTCCCAGCAGCTGGTGCAATTTGTGGTTCATTCGCCTCCTCCACGTTCCGTCATCCATCTGCACTCCACCGTAGATGGTACGCAACACCTTCCGTTCGAAAAAAAACCAAGGGCACGTTGGTCCTACACGAGCATAGTCCAGGTCTCGTGGCCGTAGAGCATCACCGGTTCATTCAGCGTCTTGTAGACAGTCAACTTCGTGCGGCGGCGAATTTTATTCGACCGGAGCGTCCTCCGGAGTCCAAAGTAGGCACGATTCCCTGCCATAATGCGTCTTTGAATTTCTCTGCTGGTATCATTTTCGGCGGTCACCAGTGAGCCCAAATACACGAACTCATCGACCACCTCGATTTCGTCACCGTCAATCTGAACTCGGGGTGGGAGGCTAACATTGTCTTCCCTAGAACCTCTTGCTTTCATGTATTTTGTCTTTGATGCGTTGATGGCAAGTCCAATCCGTCTAGCTTCAGCCTTCAGTCTGATGTACGTTTCCGCCATCACCTCAAAGTTCCGTGCCATAATGTCAATGTCATCGGCGAAACCAAGGAGCTGGATGGACTTCCTGAATATCGTGCCACTCGTGTCTATCCCAGCTCTTCTGATCACACCTTCTAACGCGATGTTGAACAGCAGACACGAAAGTCCATCACCCTGCCGTAACCCCCTTCGAGATTCAAAGGGACTCGAGAGTGTCCCCGATACTCGAACAACGCACATCACTCGATCCATCGTCACCTTGACCAATCGCGTCAGTTTATTCGGAAATCCGTACTCGTGCATAATCTGCCATAGCTGATCTCGATCGATTGTGTCGTATGCGGATTTGAAATCGATGAACAAATGATGTGTGGGCACGTTGTATTCGCGGCATTTCTGCAGAACCTGCCGAATCGCGAAAATTTGGACCATACCCCGGGAGGCTGCAAAGTTCACGCATCGTTGGCCGTTGTCGTTTGATACGGCATGCAGGCTGTTTGACCCGATTGCCGGTCTATACATTGCCTCCCGTCCTACCTGAGCGTTCATGTCGCCGATGACGATTTTGACGTCCCGTTGCGAACAGCCGTCGTAAACCTGCTCCAGCTGCGCATAGAACGCTTCTTTCTCGTCGTCGGGTCTCCCTTCGTGTGGGCAGTGCACGTTGATGATGCTGTAGTTGAAGAAACGAAAAGGAAATTTATCTACACTTTCCAAATCTGCAACAATATTTGAGAGTTACTTTTAATTTTATTCAGTCCCACTACCAAAATTGTCAAAAATCAGGCAAAACATTGAGACCTATTCTGCGTCACGCATTTAACTTGCACGGAGAGTCACTTCACCTTAATTACTTACTTACGACATCCTGGTAAAATGTGCCATGAAGAGAAATCGTGATAGTATTTAATCCTGCATTATTTTACTGGCATTCATATTATAGGGGAAATGGATGTAATGTCGGCCTAAATGCCCCTGACTTGGGCCCATACATAAATTCAACAATCGACTAAATTTTCAATTTCAACCAAAAATATCCATTAGCACCATTTAAATGACGCGTTCATCTAGATCAAATTGCACACTACGAAAAAGAAATGTAAATTTCAGTGCCCTGAGACCGATACATGCAAGCGGCTCTTTTGACATGAGAATCAGTTGAAAATGACGAGAAAATCAATTCAATCAAACGGACTATTCGACGAGTTGTATATGTTTCTGTGTCAGAACACTTAATTTTACATGCCATTACTTCAAAGCTGAATTACGTCTCGTGTAAAAATAATAATTTCTAAGTGTGTGATAAATAGCTGATTTTTAGCGATGGGCCCAATCTTAGATCCATAGGCTAACATTAGAGCAATTTCCCCTATATAATTCAAACGAACGATTATAGGGCCGTAACGACTGTTGTAATTCACTGGAAAGTGAGTTTTATGAATGAATCTGAATTATTCAATAAATTACGAAAGAAGAGAAATTAAAGGATTTCCGTTAAATTCCCTACGAGTTTGTAAGCAATTGCCTACATTTAGGAGCAACTGTGAATTTTAAAAAATCTGATATGGCATTATTGGCTGAAAATACGCTTCACATAAGGATCTCGAGCACTCTATTCGGATTCAGGGAACCCAAATTTAAAAGCATATTTATTACTACTGCCACCTGACTCATAACGAATATATGTTGTATCCGGAGGAACATGAACCCGTCTAATTTTGGTCTATTTTTTTGGTAAATTAGATTGAATATACGTTATATCTGAAGCCCTCAGACGCAACGTACAACGGTATTAGACTGATGTAAAATTTTAAATTTTCGCTCCACAGTGTTCAAACGGTTCCTATTTGGTTCCTGATTAGCCTTCCAAAATTGGAACGCATTTAGTAAGAAACTGACTTGGCACAAACCTTTTGAAGTTTATATGGAAATTACTATGGGAAAACCAAATATCTATCTAATAATTCTCCCTTACTCTGCTTTAAAAATTGATAACTGTACAGCCAACCGGGGGATGTAAGTTTCACTTACAATTATGTGGGATTTATCATCAGAGGATATTAGTGGAGACCGCATGAACCGAGGGGGGATGCGATTACCTAGCTGCGGTCCAATGCAAGAAAAATGAAGATCGAAAAATGTAGAGTGTATTAGTGAGGTAAATTAGTTATATAGAAAAAACAGGAAATAGATTGCCGACTGGATTCGAACCACAAAACTTTGCGATTTTCAGACCTGTGCTTTCTCCACTGCTCTCTCCATGCTTCTGGATACGATAGCCTAAAAGCAAACATGAAGCGCTCATTTTCTCGCATACTCGACTTCGTAAGCTTTTTTTGCTGGAGAGATTCGAGGCAAGTGTGTGAGTCGTTCTACAATGTTCTACAATGTTCTACAATGTGCGTCGTTCTACAAGCTTACTGGTTTAGTCGAAAGCGCAGATAGAACACGAAATAAAAAAGACAAAAAACCATTACATCACCTGCATGGTCAATTTCTAACATTCGTTGCGATGTTCATGAACAGAGGATGATAGGAAACGGAACTAACATTCATTGTAAAGGGCCACGCACATTAGATCCGTTTGTGTTGCGTTGACGTAAATTTGACAGTTAGACAATAGATTTAGCTGTCACTTTGCCGCAACGCGTCCGATCCGGATCTAATGTGCGTGGGCCTTAATAGATTTTTGGTTTGCGTGTTATGTTTGCGTCGATAAAACGTAAGGATCAAAAGTTATTAATGATTCAAGTCACTATTGTCTTATGATTATGCTCAATCAACTGCTCAGCAGGCAACATTGGTGTTTCTGGCGCGTAGAATAGAGCTAAAACATCATGGCTACTATGTCACACTGCAGAATACAGTGTTGCCCACAAAACAGTTGCTTGATCATGCCATAAGATTATCAATCGCTTAATCAATTAATAACTATTTAATTTGATGTTTGACTGAAAAACAATGTTCCGCTAAGTTGTAGCTGAGAAAATTTTCCACAAGAATAGTTATCGAAAATTTAAACGGTGCAATATGGAAGAAGGATAGAAGACTACGAAGAAAAAGTTTGGTTTCCCCAAAGTAATTCCCATATAAACTTCAAATTGTTCCTGCTCAGTCAGCTTCTTACCAAATCAATCCAAACCTTGGGAGGCTAATCAAGACCTGATTTGGAACCGCTCGAGCACTATGGAGCGAAAATGTCAAATTTTGCATCAGTCTAGTGGCCATTGACGTAGCTAATGGGGTGCCAAGGAGGCCAGGCTCCCTCCAGAATTATCAAGCGGCTTGATAAGTGATTCAAGCCCCTCCCCCCTCAGAATTTTTGGTGTTTTTTTTTTCGAAAAGCTCACTAGTGAAAGCGTGTAACGGCAAGTTTCCAATGACATAACTTAGCCATTTCTTGATGAATTTCAAAAGTTACATCTAGACTTTCTAGGGTCTGTAGATTATTTTGTTTGAGAGAAGATTGAAATTCGGGTTGTCTACCTTTTTTTTTAAGTAAAAAGACTCATTACACTTTTTTTTTAAAGTTGTGTTTGTAGGTTTTGCATGTGGCATAAGACCTATAAATTAGATTAATAGGCACAAATGTCCATAATTAGCCAGAATAAAGTCATGGTTCCTATATATGGATCCTGGAGGCAACGGAATGGTCCTGGAACATCCGTAAAAGTGGTCAATCCACGAACCTCATCCTAGAGCTCCGCGGTTTTCGAAAACATTAGGAACTGTGATATAAGAATAAATTTGGGTTATAAACATAAACATAGACCTGGATGCCCATGGGACCGTCCTCCGGAAGATCCGTAAAAGTGGTCCATCTGT